AAGTTGGCTTGGATATCGCGTCGTGAAGGTACGCCTTGTAAACGGTGACGTAGCTTGCGGTGGTCTACGGAATAGATCCTAGCTGCAACTCGAAGGCGCAAATTTGGGTCGCTTTGCATAGCTTGGATAGCTAGCACTAATTTGCTTTCATCATTTTTATGGCGCATGTTTTGTTGTGGAGGAATTTAACATTTAGTTGGGGGGGTTGGTCACCGCATGATTTTGGCACTTTCGCTTGTTTGGCACTTTCGTTATACATGCACGTTATAGTATTACTAGAGACAATGACTCTAATAATAATGTTTTAATTTCTGAATTAAGAGATGAATATCTTAATTTAGGATTAGATACATTTAATGGTAATATACCTTGTATAGCACATGTTATTAACATTGCTGTACAAGATAAATTAAATACCTTATTAAAAGATGAAGATAAATATTTTAAGGAATTTGAAGAGCAAAATTTACTAGAAGAAGATAAGGATATAAGTAAGTTTTTACTCTTCCTATACTTTTATTTATATATACTAACTAATATTTTAAAGATGTCTTTAATAAGCTTACCTTATGGGCTAAAATGAGACGAATTAGTATTAGCCTTAAATATAATCAAGAGAATGCTAGATTATTAGCAAGGTATACTAAATTCTTAAATGGACCTAAGAAGATACAGTTAGGTAAGACTCCTTTATATTAAGTTGTATATACTAAACTTTTAATAGATACCTCTATATGCTTAAGAATTTCTTATATCTTAAAGAGCCTATAGAAATAGTTATTACTACTTCTAAAGCTAAGGTCTTTAAAAACAAAGAAAATATTAGAAGAAGAATGGGCTCTCTTAGAAGTATATAAGGTTATTCTTAATATCTTTATTATTGCTACTACAAAGTTACAAGGAAAAGAATATCCTACTTTATATCTGTAAGGATGCCTCCTTACCTAGATACTCGAAGAACCTGCCTCAGAGCTGTTACGGTCACTACAAGCATGAAATTTGACTCGGTGTGGTTTCGAACCAGTAGAGGAGCACATAGCGAGTTACACTATAGTGGGGGACGGTAAGGGTCTAGGGTTCAGGGTCGATGCGGACCTGTTGCGGTGGAAGGTTCAGGGCTAGGGTTGGAATAACCGAGTCGGGCCCGTTTCGGGTAGTTAAGGAAACAGACTTAACGGGGTTCCCCCTTCATCTTTTTTGTATCCTTCGTAGTAGACCTATAGGATAGCATCCGTTTAGCCTCCGACTCGCACTCTCATATGCTATTACTGTGAGCTCGGTGCCCTGTGTCCTTACAATATAATAAATTACCTTTAATAAGTCAAATTTATCAAAGTTTAGACTTAATGAAAAGTAAAGTACAAAAGGTAAGTTTTACATTCTTATTTTATAAACAAATATACTAATTAATTATAGGGCTCTAAAATGAGCTTAGCAATAGATCAAGGAGTTTTAAAGCTTAGGAAATACTATTCTCCTCTTCATTTTGAGGTGAAAAATAGTACTTTATTTATAGCAGCTTTACTAGATCCAAGAATTAAAAAAACTTAGCTTAGTAAATTAGGCTATAACACACAAGCAGAGTTTGATGCTTTAAAAGCTTTAGAAAATGTTTTTGAGCACTAAGTTATATTACTTAAGATTTATAAAATAATACTAACTATTTTTAGAACTTCACAACTTGATTTTGATAATGAGCTACCTCTTATTAAAAATAAAAATCAAGAAGAAGATAACTCTTTAGATGACTTTGAAAAGGCTTTATATTTACAAAATCTAAATGAAGATTCAGAGACAGAGATTACTCTATTTAACGATGTGATGGCTAGGAGGCTGCTGAAAAGGGCAGCTTTCGTCGCTGTTTTACGCACCCCGCTTGCCCACCTTTCAATACTCCCACACCCCAAAATTAATCGCCGCACACCTATGGTGCCTCAGGTACCTGAAACAGCTTGTCCACATCGTTCACCTCGTTCACCCCATCCAACCTCTGGCCAACCCATCCCACCTGGCCCTCACTATCCAGGTGCCCACGAAAGCCAAAACTGGCCTTCTCCTCGTTGAACCGCTAACTCAAAGGTATTTAAAGGTAGCATGTCCCTTGTTCGCTCTCTTTCGTCTGTTCTTCGCCATCTCTTCTCTTTCACGTCTCAGTCACTCGATTCTTCACCCCTCCTACAAGCTTTCGCTCGTAGTCTCTCTTTTCAGTCGTCAATACTCCTTGTCTGCATTTTTGTTCAATCACTTTGCACCCTCGACTGCTCTCTGGATTCTCTTCTTACTAATCCAATCAACCCTCCACACGTCTCCGTCTCGACATGGCAATGACTTCCTACTCCGACGATGAATCCGACAGCTCGAGCGTTTTCGACTTTGATTCCCTTTTAGATGGTATCGACAATGACACCGATGACGAGTCGTGGCTATTTGACGACGAAATAAAACACCCTCCGGAACACTATCTCGCCGAAGCAGAAGAACTCGATGTGCAGCGGCTTCGGCAACGACGATACAGCCCCAATACCCAAGTCCAGCTTGATCGAGTGAAGTTGCAGTGGGATCGGTAAGTGAACATTCAAATGACTATAGTTGCTTACGCTAACTGTCCACCCCTTTGAAGGTACTGCTCCTACATCAAGAAAGACCCAGTACAATGCTTCCGCGATGTCACGATAAGATTCCTCAAAGGCTTCTTGAGCTGGGTTTGCGACCAACGACGAGGGAAAGGCGGACGGAGACGGCCAGGCATCAAACATACGACGTCGTTGGAGACATTTGGAAGTGGTACAACCTTGTGTACAAGCTCGAGGTTGGCGAGAAGATTGACAAAATGATTATACGACAAGGGCAAGATGTGAGCTTTTCTAGTTACTACGTTAGGGCTTCTGTTTGTCTTCAGTCTAATATAATTATAGCTGATCAAGTTTGTGGCCGATCAAAAGGGTCTTGATAACTCAAAGCGGGAGAGTGCAACTATGTATGCTGAAGATCTAGCTGAATTCTCCCGCGTGCTTCTTACGACAACGCAAATGACTTTCGCCATTGGTTGGCTTCGAATTCAGCAGATCCTCTTCTCTCAACTCGCAGGCATCACTGGCAATCGACCGGAGGCTTTATTACAGCTCCGTCTCCGGCACCTCGAACTGACACTGATTCGAGACCCCAGTGGAGGTCGTCCCCGACTGTTTATCGAACTTTCGCCCGAGTTCACCAAGGGTTTTCTCGGCTTAAAGGACGTGTGAGTGCCCTCTCGTCAGCATCGTACTGACTAGAACCCAAAGCAATAAATTTAAAATCCCCGAAATCATCTACGACCCGACGCTGGTACTGAGTCCGCATGTCTTCCTGCTTGGCATGCTGTTTAAGGTTCAGGCCTTCAAGTCTCCTACCGTCTATTCACCCGAGAAGTTGTACAGTCTGAACGTTCTGCAGGGGATGAATGAGCAGGAGCTACCGTTAAAGGATGAGATGCTCGACAATTTCGTCTTTTGTCAAGCGGTTCGTGAGGCGGAAGGCGTTCGCATCGCTCACAATCTACAGCTGTCGTCGGCATCGATCCGGTACCGCATGAAGATAGGCGGCCAGATCACCGGGTTTAAACAAGTCACGAAGCCGTATGTGCTACGTGACGGGGCCGCTAAGGCGCTAAATGAGAGTCGTAAGTGTTTTTCTGAGATCCTGCTGTCCTCAACTAATGTGGTCTCTTTGGCACAGCTGATGTTAGTGACTCCGTTCAAAACTTAATCTTGCAGCATGCGAGTATCGACACCTTCCTTAAACACTACCTTGATCGGAATATCAATGTGGACGTCCAAAATATATATCGCGGACTCGCGCCGCAAAAGGCTTTGATGAGGTTCGCATGTTCAATGAGCCGGTCGATCGACCCCCGGCGCCCCTGGAAGCTGACTTCTGCGCAATCAGCATCGGTCAATAACCTTCCATGTATCGTGAAATTGTCTCAGATCGCAGCCCACCTGTCAGGGTCTCCAGAAGGCAGCCGGAGGGAAGAGCGCTATCGGAAGGTTAAGAAACGCCTTACGAGCGAGAGAGCGAGACAGCGGCGGTTGCTACTACTTGACATCGTCGATCGATACAAGAAAGAGCAGCCTGTCATTGACAGCGAGCGGCAGCTATCTGGCAAGGTGGTCGACGAGGACGTCCGAGGTGCACTAGAGCGATCGGATCATATGACGCCTGAACAACTGCTTCTAATCGACGCGGTTTTGACATTGCCCGAGACGTCGCTGGAAAAGGAATGTCAACGCAGGATTACGGCCATCAACGCTGTGACGGCGTACTGCAGTGTTGAGGAAGGGGTGGCCTTCCGTCGCAGTCGTGCTGGTCAGGCAGATCCACTAGTCTCCGCGGTCAAAGACGAAAAACCACTGCAGTCCGAGGCAGATATCATGCTCAGACATGCAATATCGTCGGTTACGACGGATAAGAGGCCAACTATATGCTTCGCATGTCTTGGAAACCCGAACCTGACGATTCGAGAGAGGGTCGTCTCGTTTGCAACTCCTGGCTGCCTGACGAGGCACTTTATGAGAAAGCATGTTAGAAGACTGGGAGTTAACGAGCCTACGGAGTGTCGGATCTGTGACGTTCGGCTCGAGCATCGGATGCATTTTCAAAGCCACGCAGAGATATTTCACGGAACTGTCTGTCGGTCCCGCAACTAGATGGAATCATTCGGGAGTGTTATGGTTTCTCTTGATTAGGTAGACAGAAGGATTAATTATATAGGGAGGAGGCAGGAGTATCTGGCGTCATTTATAGTTTTAATCTAGCTTCCCCCCCATGAAGACCCATACCAGTTCACGTCTTTATCAAAGTGACCTGATGCTGCACAGCTTGTTATTCGTGCCCATCAACCTAACAATGCCCTTTTTTTTTTTTTCATATTTATATAAAGAAGGATGATTTATCTGCTTATATGTTTAATAACAAACGCCCTTGGCACTACTTTTCATGCAAAAACAGTTCCTAACTCTACACTAGAGAGTATAACCCGCTCCATGATGCCTCAAAAACTCTGTGGTTGACTTGTCAAGTTGCTCTCTAGGTGTAGAAATCGAAGAGGTAGACGAACTAGCCAGTCGATTCTGCGTGAGCATCTGTAAGGATTGGTCAGACATATGACCAATCCACTCCGAAGTTCGAGCCCCAACGCTGATTCTCTTGGCTGACATCGGATCTCCGCGCGTCGAGACAATGACAAGGTGGGCGTCTTCAACCGTGCTTACATCTTCAAAGACAACTCGCTGCGCTTGGGCTACTTGTCTAGATACAAGAGCATCGTCTCTCCGCATTCGCTGCTGCTGGGTTGCGTCGTCGGCTGACATGCTTGCTCAGTTCTGCGAAGTATTCTGTTGGAAGTTTGGTGATCTATGTTTCTGAGGAGATCAAACCCGACGGTCCTTACATACGGTACATTGGTCACCTTTAAAGCTCAGAAAGTCAGAGGACAGAGGAGTCGTTCACTTTATTGAAGGATAAACTATTATCAGACGTCATCACTTAAAGCAATGTCCAGATCATGACGTATGCTCACAATCTCAGCTTTGGTAACCTCTACGCCCGTGCGGTAGTTTCCTCATCTATCTCCGTGCAGCAGCCAAAAGTGACCGCAATATCATTCCACATGGCTAACTAGCTCCGAGCTCGCGTTCCCCAATGTCTGCTCCCTGACCATTGACAGGAAAGATTCCGGTAAGAGATCGATTTGGTGCACCCCGGTTATGGCCGCAAGCACCTCGCTCAACAAACGTGGCGTACGCTCTGGAGAGAAATAATTGGCTTCCTGTGGTCTTTCGGTCCTAGGTTCACAGGTGCATTCTCGATCCCTGCAGCTTACCCAGTGTTTCCATTCTCGCTTGGAGTCTTCCCGCTCCCAAGCCGCATATGCTTTGCTCCAATGGCTATACTATTTGATGTTAAAGATGCAGCCACTATAGGTGAACCAGTCTTCAACCATCGGGTGGAAGCGAGTCATCCTTGAGACCAGCGGTCCCTGTGTGTTGCATATAGTTGTTCCTCCCTCCATCACAATATGCTTAGGTTCGAGGAGGCTCTGGGGACTGAAGATGTGTTCAAGACAAGTTATATGGTAGAATTGATTCGGCTCTTATGTCTGGTTAAGATCTGCTTCCCGATAAGTGTTTTCAGTGCGACTTACGTAGGTGGTGAGATAAATCGCCAGCCCGTCTCCCTGTCAAGTCCTTGAGGTTGAAACGATAGTCGGACTCGATATTAATAATGCCAGTCAGCTTATGTCGAAGACACAGCAGGGCCCGGCAATGACTCCGCCTGCTCGGTGTGCTCTCCAGGACCAGAATGGAGGATCCTGACCGAAGCTCTTGCTCAATATCGCTCTTATCCGTAGCGACTGGGTCGGAAGGCTTAGCATTCAACTCTTTCGCCATAGCCTTGTACCATTCCGGAGACCTCGAACTCCCAACTTTGTTTAGCGTCTGCCTTTTCCTTTTGTTTAATGCTTTCACCAGGGTTTCAACGATTTCTGCTACCTTCTTCGGGCTCATTCTTTGGTCCCTCTTCGGCCTGTTCCTTGTACGCACTCCCTCACTCCATGAAGTAGGCGACTGGTCGGCGCTCTCATCAGCAAGGCATCGCTTGCGGCGCTGGTTAGATGCTTCATCCGCCATAGCAAGTGTCGAAGGTCGTGCGAATGACAGAAGAGAGCCGTTGAGGTGAGGAGGATGAGGGTTGCCCTTCCTAGTAATAACAGAAGCGCTCCACTTTTCATGGCATAGGGATTACCTAGAGGAATGGACCATCGGCTGGTCCCGATTATCCCCCTCAGAGGTCCACTGGATGGTTACCCCTTACCAGGTGTCCACTGAATCTTCTCCTGGACTTATCCTTGCAATCCAAGAACGTTTTAGCGAGAAATGAGTGGGTTAAAGTAGAGACAGTCAGGAAATGGAGAAGGGGAGAAGTAGCGATAACTAAAGAAGGGAGGGGTGGGGAGGTAGGAGGGCAGCGAGGTGAAAGGCTCTTGTGGGCGGAAAATGACATGGAGATAGACAGGAAGGTAATGGAACAATGGTGACTCATGCAACATAACCTGAGTTTGCGTTTTGGGGTACCGCAGCGTCTTTGAAGGTGCAAATGCCTTGCGCCCGTCTGTCCAACTTGAAAGGCAAGGGGTCGCGGTATTCCAAGCTTCTAGATGATCGGCGTAGTACGTACTAGTACGTACCAGTACGTACTCTGCAGTGTGCCATCAAAACCACCTGTGATGGAAGAGGTACGAACAGAGGATAAGCGAATTTGCCGCCCTGCGACGATGATGAATCACGTTGAAAACATTCACCTTAAAGGACGATATCCGAAGGCTAAGATAGAGTGTTTTCACCCAACGTGCAAGTCCCAAAGGCTTGTTCTCGAAACCTTATTTAATGAGCGAGGCGGTTGATGTTGATGTGAAGTCGAACGATTATAGTCCATGGAACCTCAAAGACTTGCAAGGATGAGTCAGTGGATGTGGAAAGGGTTAGCCAGGTCCACCTGAGAGTACTCGTACTTTGGGTCAATAATTGTTAACTGTGCAATGATCGTCTACACCCTTGTAACTCCCTTGTAAATATATGGACAAATAGGGAGCGCTGATTACCCGAGTAATGTTGTGCTGCTTTATCGTATGTACGTGACGCGTTATAGTAATTCAATTAACAACAATGGAAGTTGAGCCGCCATCAACTCCAAAGCGACAGCAAGAGCTGTCTCGAGATGAACGTCTACAGATTTATACTTTATTTAATGATGCAAAATGGTCGACATATGAAATTTGCAAGTTATTAGATTGTACGCCTCGACAGGTACAATATGCTCTTGAAACTCGGCCAACACCACAACGAAAAGGAAAATGCGGTCGTAAAGTTGGTATTAATACACCCCGTCGAAAGCAACTTGTTAATTTTGTTACTGCCTCTCGAGTAAATCGCCGTCTACTTTGGAAAGATATTCCTGCTGCAATCGGATGGGATTGTAAGATTTATGCTATCTCGACAGCATTAAAAGCTGAAGGATTTAACAGACGAATCGCACGACGAAAACCACATCTTTTGCAACGACATGCAGATACACGACTTGCTTGGGCAATAGAACATGAAAATTGGACATTGGAACAATGGGGATCTATCTTATGGACAGATGAAACTTGGGTAAATCCAGGATTACATAACAAGCATACAAATAAGGTTACTCGACAGGTGGGAGAGGAACTTTTGCCTGATTGTGTCGACCCAAAGATACAGCGAAAAATCGGTTGGATGTTCTTTGGGGGGATTACAGGAAGATATGGAAAAGGGCCCTGCCTATTTTGGGAAAAGCGATGGGGAACTATAACTTCTGCAACATACTGTGAACATACTGTTCCAATTCTTGATGCATATATACGTGAACATCTAGAGTTAGTTCTAATGCAAGATGGAGCAGGCGTGTAATGGTGGGTGCACCAGATATGAGAATCTAGCCACCCAAGGAAGGGATGAATTTACTAAGACAACACACTGTCTTAGGAAACAGAGCCAAAGGGTTGTAGCTTAGACTATTCCACAACGCAGCAATCAGGTGTATGATGTGGTGAAGTGGTTTAGACAAGTTGCAACAAATGTTGAGTCTGAGAACTCAGGGGTAAGTCAGAGGTTAGCACCTCACTGACTTTTCAAAAAACAGAGAATAACAAGATCAATGCTTGGAAGCTTGGAAAAGACGTAGAAGTATGTGCTAGTCGATTTACTGTATTGCCTGCTTGCCCTTTCTTAAGGAAAGGGCAATCCTATTTATGCCAAAGGAGTGTAGTTCTCTCATTTTCCATGACTTTCCATGACTAACCAGGCTTGGTAAATGTATTAGAAATCAAGTGCGACCCACAACTAGCTTGCTAATCATGTAGTGAACGTAAGAGAATCCCATAGAACCATCTCTTGGGTTCCTAGCCTATAGGAAGTGAAAAGGAGGTCCAAGGTCAGAGTACCTATAGACAAATTATGTCATAACTTAACCAATCTTGTGGGTAACTAAGGAGCGATGACGTGTAATGAATCATAGAGGGTTGTAGAAGCTTCTAGAGCTATCGTTCATGTTCCTAGGCCTCTAGTTGGTAGAGATATGCCATGTGGTAGTATTGGCCCACCCCCTTAAGGAGGAGATTTTCTTAATAACTTGTTCAATGAGTGTCCAAATGATATGCCGTGATGTATGTAGCATAAACAGATGTAGTAGAAGAGTTTGCAGCAATCGTTGAGTAGTATTGCTTCTGTTGTTGGTGTGATAAGCCAAGATATGTATGGTGACTTGTAGGTTTGAGGAGGAGATTTCTAAGTTTGCTCTTCAGTTTGATAGCAAACTGAGTGCAACGAATGTCAGTATGACATGATCCCCCTTTTAAGGACGTTTGTGGGCTGTCTGCTTGCCCTTTAGCCAGGTGGCTTTCTTAGAAAGAAATTCTAGAATGAGCTTAGATGCATTTTTTAGATTTCTCTTAGGCTCCCAAGTGTTGTCACTTGTAGGATAGCCTTTCCACTTAACGAGGAAGTAGTCCTGACCTCTAAGTGTCTTTTTGTCAAGGATAGACTCTACTTCATATTCTGGTTGATCCAAGATCAGAACAGGAGGTGGAGGAGACTGAAGTGGTCTTAAGGAACTTTCTTGTGCCTTAGACAAGAGAGATGCATGGAAGACATTATGGATAGTCCAAGTAGGTGGTAATGCAAGCTCGAAAGCATTCTTGCCAATAGTCCTTGTGATCTTAAAAGGTCCAAGTCTTTTAGTATCAAGTTTGTCTGAAGGTCTAGTAGTTGTGATATGTCTTCTAGACAAAAAGACTTGATCACCAACTTTGAATTGTGGTGCAACCACCCCCCTGTTAAAGGCCTGAGCCTGCTCGTCTTGTGCACGCTGTATTTGAACCTTGAGATAGTCCTGGAGGCCCTTAAGGTAGATGATTCTTTCAGTAGCAGAAGGGTTTTTGAAATTTTCAGGACAATTCAGTTCTGCCACTTCAAACCTAGGGTGATAACCATAGTTTGCATAGAAAGGTGTCTCTTTTGTGGTGTTAGAGACTGTGTTGTTGTAAGCAAATTCTGCAAGATGGAGAAGATCTGCCCAGTTGTCTTGAGCATAGTTTGTATAAATTCTTAGATATTGTTCAAGTACAGAGTTGACTCTCTCTGTCTGGCCATCTGTTTGAGGGTGATAAGCTGTAGAGAAGCGTTGTTCCATGTTTAAGAGTTTAGAGAACTCCTTAAAAAAGTTTGAAGTGAAAACTGCTCCCCTATCTGAGATCCAGTGTCCAGGAATTCCATGATATTTAAAGACCACCTTGAGGAATAGCCACGCAAGTTCAGAAGCTGTGATAGTCTCATTGCAAGGCTCAAAGTGTGCCATTTTTGTGAGCCTTTCTACCACCACAAGGATAGAGTCATAAGGGGTAGCACCCCCTTTTGGGATAGAAGGAGGCAACTTGACTATAAAGTCAATGGATATGGAGTCCCATGGGCGTTCTGGTATAGGTAGAGGCTGCAAGAGGCCATAGGGCTTTTGCCGTGTAGGCTTGTTCAAGTTGCAAGTAGTGCAAGAAGATATATAGTCTTGAAGAGTAGTCCTTAGACTAGGCCAGTAGAACTTTCTTGTTAGAAGTTCATAAGTTTTTGCAAAGCCAAAGTGCCCTGCAGCTGGAGCATCATGGAACTGCTGTAGGAGGTGTAGCTGTAATCGTTTATCCCTTGGGACATAGATATAGTTCTTGAATAAGAGAAGTCCATGCTGATTTTTTGAGAAATTCTGTAGTCCAACTTTCTCAAGAGAGGAACCTTTCTTCTGGAGGTATTCCAAAGTTCTTTTCGCAAAGGGATCATGGTTGTAAGCATCTTTGAATGCTTTAAGAAGTGTTGCTGAGGGTGTATAGTCTTTAAAGGTCTCTGGTTCCTGAGAAGAGGTAATGGGGGCAACTTGGTCTTGAGGGGATAAGTTTACCCCTAAGTCCTCTGTAGTACTAAGGTTGCTTAAAGATGCTGCTATAAGCTTTGCTGAGTCTAGCAGAGCCTTTGTATTGCTAGTTTTAGCAGAATCTTGGTAGTCATGTCTTCTTGAGAGGAGATCTGCTCTTTGATTCTTGGCCCCTGAGACATGTTTTATAACAAAGTCAAAACCTCCTAGTTGTTCAGACCACCTTGCTTGTCGTCGATTGAGCTGTTTAGTGGTTGTAAAGGTCAAGAGATTTGAATGGTCACTGTAAATAGTGATAGGATAGTTTGCCCCTTCAAGGTAGCATCTCCAATGCTTTAGAGAACATACTATGGCAAGCAGTTCCTTGTCTGTAATGGGATAGTTTTGTTCAGCTGCTGATAGCTTTCTTGAGTAAAATGCCACAGGCTGTAGCTCTTCTTGTTTGTCTTTTGGAGCTTGGTATAAGATTCCAGAAATGGCAAAATCTGAGGCATCTGTCTCAAGAGTGGCAGGTTTCAAGGGGTTAAAGTGTAGTAACATTTTCCCTTCTTTAAATTCTCCTTTAAGAGCATCGAAAGCATCTTGCTGTGTCTTATCCCAGTGATACAAAGTGTCCTTGTGAAGTAATTGAGTAAGGGGTAAAGCCAAGGATGTATATCTTGGTATAAACCTCCTGTAATAGTTGGCAAAC